CATATATTCAGAATATACCCATAAAATTGTAAATTTTAAAGTGAACAAGTACCAATTTGTATTGAGACGCGGATAGCACCATTGGTTTTAACTATAATAAAAAAGATATAAGAGAAGTAAATTAAGTAAGTCGTAAAAAGTAAGTAAAGTTAATCTATATATATTAATAGAAACAAACATTACTCTAATATTCTTTGATATATATATGCGAAAGACTTTCACATATATCCGGAATATATTCATAAAGCTCTAATTTTTAATGTAAAACAGCCATGAGAAGTATCATTTGCATTGAGAAAGAGAGAGAGACGCGGATGCCATCGTCGGCTTTCTAAATTTGTATCAAATACTAAGAAGCGTCACTTTCACCGGCTGATCGATAAACTCCACGCCACAACGTGCAGTCAGATTGAAAGATTCTGCGGTCAAAATCATCACGATGAATTTCAGGGGAATCGAGGGAGATAATTCGAGAATTGCTGCGGAAACCGAACGAGTCATCGACGCTTGTGTCATAAATGTCGTAATAATATTCCTTTTTTTTTTTTTTCAGAGTTAGATTACGGGGAAAGACCGCACGATATTCGTCATCGTCATGTAAATATTAACTTGACGATAGACACGCCAAGATATTTATCTCATACAAGATAGACAGGTTATTAAATATCTGAAGTGTCCTCGGGCTATTTCTTTCTATCAATGCAGCGAGAAAATGATGAATAATATTCAGGTGAAAACATCAAATTCTTAGATCAAACGAAGATGTAAACACAATTAATAAGAAAAAATATAGAAAGTCTTATCTCCATCTGATCATTTACGGAATAATATATCCGTAGTATACGTTTATTTTAATCCAGTTGAAATTGATTGCATCAATATGTGATTTGATCAAAAGCCTAAAAGATGTCTATAAAATACATCTTAAAAATTTCAATATTATTTAAAAGATTTTACGATATTTTTTACGATATTCGTTATTCGAACGTCTACGTTTAAAAAAAAGTCAGCTCTGTCATTCTGTATAGATTTATAATTATCATACACACCTTTGGACTCTCGGTATGTTTTTCGCGATGAAAAAAACGCAAGAATCCAAAAGACGTCTAAAGTACATCTTAAAATATTTAAAGATTGTTTTAAAGAAACAACAAAAGTAAGGTGTTAATATTCGGTATAAACAAGCAACAATTTATCAGTTGACAAATTTATTATAAAAAAAAATTCAGAATTAAATACGATTGTTTTAAAGAATTTTTGGATACCTTCGTTGTACTAAAATCTGTGCTGTCATTCTGATTAGACCTAATTATCCTATATACATATGTATATAGACTTTCGGCATACATTGACGTTCTTGGCGATGAGAAATACAACACACAAGAGTGACATCCAAAGCATATCTAAAATACATTTTAAACATTTAAAGATTGTTTAAAATATTTTACCATATCTTCGGATGTTTGTTATTTGAATACCTATGGTCTAAAAAAAGTCTCTGCTGTCATTCTGATTAGATTTAATTATACTATGTAGATTCTCGGCATGATGCGCATGACGTTTTTCACGATGAGAAACGTCGCGCGGTAGAATATTGGTAAGCTCGCGTGTCGCGGTTTGCGGAATTATTTCGCAAACCGCGCCGTTATAAATCAACTCTGCTTTAATGGAGTCTATTATGTAACACGCCAAAATAACACGCGAAACACTTGAGCGCCGGTTGTGCTAATGGAAACACGTTCGCACGACATCGCACGCAAGCAAAGCAACGCACAAGGAGACCATCCGTCCAATCTGCATCGTTAATTATTAGCCACGTAATAACATCTGCGTTGGTATCTCATATACCGGATCCACGGCGTCGAGTCAACAAAGAGACCCTCGTACGTGCAGCCGCGGTTTGTGTCAACGTTATTTAGCGCACGTTTACTTCGGTCGAGCAAAAAATTTTCTCCTTTTCTTTCTAAGCAATTTCGCATCTATGCGGGTAATAATCAAAAGGATTGCCGAATCGGTTAGCCGGGTTTGCTTCACTTGAATTGTTTCGCAATCGGGTCCGCGTTGTCGCAACCGCGATTCCCGTTGTATTCCGAGACCGAAAATCGAGCGTCATGCTTCTAAGTTTATTGTACCTGTATCTTTTATAGCAGAAGTTTTATTCTTGAAAAATATCACATACGAAATACTAGAAAAACTTGTAATATACATAATAAATAATATTATAGTATTTTCATACATTTTTATATGTGATATTTTTTAAGAATATAGAACTCCTGGAGAATATTTTGTATTTAATTATGTTTTAAAATTTTGTGTGTATATACATAAAAATTTTCATTTTTCTATTCTTCGTTTTCGCTTTAAAAAAAAAGTTACATGATCGATACTCCGGTCAAATAATGAAGTTGCTTCCGAGTTAATCGTAATTTCGTTAAATTAAAATACGACGTATTTGTTTTTCGAATATTTGGAAAACTATTAGTATAGCCAGGTATACCTCTGTGAAGCTGGCTGGCTCCACTTTTTCAAAATTTGGAAAATTAAGCACAGTTCTTGTTTTAATTCTTTAATTAATGCTGTGAAAATTACACTTAATTGGAAGTTCTAAAGTACTATTTGAAATATAGAATGCAAATTTCCATCTTACAGTGTTTGATAGAGGAAAGTTCAAAGTTTGTAATCTACAATTCTCAGAATTTTATAGTATAAAACCATTAAAAATTTTCACTATGGGTCCAAATCATTCGTTGCTGTAATCATTAATGTTGAATGTAACTTTTTTCTAAGGTGGAAACGTGAAAAGTGAAAAATTTTATCATTGAAGATAATGGAGAAGCTTTTTACATTTAGGCGCTGAAGAAAAAGTTAAGTGATTACTACCTAGATAGTAATTGTCTTAAATTTAATCCTGGTTAGCGATTGAATTTTTTTTTTCAACGGAAATGTAAACATTTTTGCATTACCATCAATGATAAAAATTTCTACTTTTCCAGTTGTTTTAGAAGAAAAAGTAGATCGCGTGATCGCTATCTGGATCAACTTAAAACGATCTTGAATGTGCTCATATTGTATAGAACATTTCAGCAACATTGCAATGTTATTGCAATATTAAAGAATGTGCAAACAAAATTGCTGCAACATTAAGTCTGTATTACTCGAAATTTTAAAAAATTTTTGCATTTAAAATAAGATAAACGTACATTCGAGCGTTGAAGAGAGAGAGAGAAAGCGAAGATAATGAGTGTAAAAAGTGCAAGAAACGCTAGAATAGTCTGTTCTTTTTAGCTGAACTTCTTGCACGGTTTATTTTTTTCACATTGGAGAGAAAAAGAAAAAATAAACTGTACAAAAATTCATTTAAAAAGAGCACACTAATGTTCTGTATTGTGTACGCGTAAGTCTAATATTACACTTAATAATAATAAAAACTTTATTATATACACTTATATACAAATTGTGTTTAAACAATACGTAAAATTACAATAAAAGGAAAAATGTCGTTTTTGTCGTATGATAAATTTTTCAAACGTTGTTAATTGGCTGCAAGACAAAGAGGTTCTCGAATCTCTCTATCCTATCCTTATAGCTATATTCAACAGGATTAGAAAAAAATGGTCGTACCACACATAACATTAACACAAAATTAAAATATGATTATTATCGTTCGTTCAGAGACATCTCATTCGTCACATGGCGACGTAATCAATTACTCAATTAGTTGGCCGTAAAACTTGTCCACATTCCTGTCTAAGTAGCTCGGCCACGAGAGAAGACGTCGCCACGCGATTAAAAAAAGATTCGAGAAAAAGAGGGAGATAAGACGGGAGGGTTTACAGCTTTTGCTGTGTAGTCGTTTGCGCTTTTGTCGCCGCACGCCTACGGCGCCAGACACCCCCAGGCGCCGCGCCGCACTACAATTGCATTTATACTTCTCGTGGACCAATCGTGCTCTAACCGGGATTCTCGGCGAGACGGACGAACGAATTAAGAGCGGATTTGGGTCAGACGGCGACGCGGAGGGCGCAGCACGGTAGCCGGCTTAAGACGAGAATTGCGTTGCGTACGATCTCTCGGCGCGGCGGCGGCGTTTACGATCTCTTCCCGGAACGTAGACACGCTCACTCGTCCGCCCCGACCGTCGTCGGCGTAGTACGCCTTTCTAAACTCTCGCGTACGCGATTTTCACAAGATATCCGTCATCTTCTTTCATTCTTGGCGTCTGCCTCCCTGCCTTGGATAGGTCGGTGTTATCCATAGTCGATTCTTATATTTGAGAATGTCTCGAGCACAATCTTACGATGCCACAAAGAGGCCGGTACTCATAAGTAGATTGGCTTAAGTACAGTCTTAAAATGTCATGAGCCAATCAGAGGGCTGCATTAGCATCTCAAGATATTATTCAAGACCTTAAAATAAGAAATAGCTATGGTCGGTTCTTATTTCAAGATCTATCTTAAGTAATGCCTTGGGACACTAATGCGGCCCTCTGATTGGTTCGTGGCACTTCAAGACTGAACTTAAGACTGTCCTTGAATATAAGAATTGACTATGAATACCGGCTTTTTAGGCTCAGCTTCACAATTCATGGTTAACTCTTAACCGAGGGGTTTAACGTATTCCTTATCTTTCTCTTTCTAATTTTCGATTAACCGTGAGTAGTGAAACTGGGCCTTAATCAGCCAATTTCGGAATGTCAACTTTAAAACATCGGGACGACCTCCGTGTGTTAAATATATTAAATAATAAATATAATAATAAATTTTTCTTTCTGGAACGCTTTTATAGAGAGAGCCAAAATTCGGACCGGTTGATCGTCATATTTGGAGGTTAATACGACCTCATGGATTTGTCGCTCCATTAAGTGGAAGCACATTGCGTCTCACGTATCTATATCGTGCGAGTGACGTATAATTTTATCCTTTAATATTCAGTAAACAAGGATAAATGATACATCATGCGCGTCATAGCGTGCGACGGCTAGAACGCACCGCTTGGCTTACCTTGCGAGAGAGGTTCCTGGTGGCGTCGAGTAATCCACAGACGGACGCGATCCAACACGATCCTCGATGCGGAGACGCGGTGCGACGGGAAGCTATGGCGGGCGGGTGGCTGGCTGGTTCACCGGGTCCGTGCGCTTGTCAAAACCAACTTATCGATCGCACTTGAATCCGGCGGTGTGCAGGAAGCGCACGATCTCTCGTCGCACCGATGTGAACGGAGTATCACTGCCGCTGGCGTTGCGTTAGTCGTAGAATCAGAGGCGCACGAGAGATCAAGAACGCTCTCCGTGAGCGCGAAAGAGAGAGAGAGAGATAGATAGATAGACAGTGGAAGAGAGAGAGAGAGAGAGAGAAAGAGACAGGAACGCGGAGAGACGAATCGAAAGAACCGACCGAGCCGGTTTACCGTGAGGAACTGAGCGAGGAAGGTTGTTTGGTCCGTGGCCGCGACTTCGGCCGTTTACGCCGCGACTTCGGCAACACTTCGTGACTACTCCGCGTTTACGGCCGGCGGGTGAGCGTAGTTCGCGTTCGGGTTTCCCCGGGCGTCCTCGGGCCGCCTCGTGCGCGGCAACCTCGACGAACTTTTGTACGGGTCGAGGCCGAACGAGGACTGCAAGGAGTACGGCGGGAGAGACGGCGGTGGGAAGGTAAGGAGGGAGGAAGAGGGTGAGGCTTCCCGCAGCGGCTTCCCGTTTTCTTACCGGCCGGTTACATACCTCCTCTACCTTCTCATCCTCGACCTATCTCGTTAACTCGGTAACAATTCGTCACTTTCTGTTCCTCGCTAAATGAAGCCGAACGGGCCGTCGTCATTGTTGCTGCGACGGTATAAGCAGACTTCACGGCGAATCGCGTCAATCGTCGGAGCGTAGGACTATGAAGGTAAAAAGGTTCTTTGTTGGAGATCCCCGGCGCACGGTAGCCCCGCGCGAAAATATACTTGTGGTACGATACCTTCGTTCATGCATGTACGAGACGTGTTGGTTCCACGAGAGCGGAACAAGGAACGCGAAGCCGAAGACGGGAGAATAATCTCGTGTTACGCTTGAGAGTCTCGTGTAAGATCCGAATCGGCTGATAAACGCGTATTCATCATCCGTCACCGCGACATTATAAAAAAAATATATATATATATAACAGTCGTATCCATATCCTTACACTTCACGATACTAATATGGATATGTGCTGCTGGAATTTATTAAAGTGGTCGGAGTAAACACACACACAGTTACTTTTCGATCGATATTATTATTGAAAATAATTAAAAAAGAAGATGATAATTTTGATTGTTTCAGCTTTTGCTAAGAAGGGACTTGATTTACAATTTCTACACATATCGATACTTTCTAATTAGTAGCTACTCTAAATCCGCAAACTGAATATTGCTATTAGCTAAGTTACACCATTTATTTACAAGATCGGCGAAACCGACCTTGGATAGTATAGAGTGTTTCATACTTATAAATATCCAAAGTATAGAATTTCATACCTTGTCGAAGGCTAAAAGGATTATAATTTTTAAGAAAATTTAAATTTACAAAAAAGTGATATTTAGTTAGGGCTTCCTTTGTGGCAGGCTTGAATGACAAATGGCACTGCATTGCTTGAAGGATGTAGTGCAAAAGTACAAAATGTTTTTTGCAAAACAATCTCGAGATCTCGTATTTGAATGTACAATTTGCGTTCTTTTACACGTCCGAGACGTGCATTGTCTTGTTTGAATACAAATCATTCTTTTGATTTAAGACGTTTAAAATGTCATCTTCAACCAACTATACTTAGAAAACGCTTTAAATCAAATCGCGATAACTGTATGTTCACCAAACATTGTGTCGAGAATTTAAATACGGAAGAACTCATTAATAATTTTATTTCAAAAGGTAATATCAGAGTAGCTTTTGCCATGTAGAAATTAAAAAAAACACGATTGAAAGGATTTAGAAAAAGGTTGAAATTATGTAGTCCTTCTCCTCTCCTCACACAATTTACCCTTAGGAATTTAATATTATCAGTCATAAAGAACATGCATTTTATATATTGTGCAAAGGTTTATGCTTTGTCTTAAAAATGTTCATAGTGCAAGCAATCATAGACTCACCGTCAGCTCCAGAGGGTTAATTGTGAATTATTTAATGTAGATTATATTTATCTACAATATATACCATAGATTAATTAATATTCTGTTTTTCCCGTAATTCTGTTCGAGGAGCATTCTTATAATTAACTCTTACAATTAATATACACGATTGTATGTGTGTGTATGTATGTGGGTCATTTATATCTTGCACATTTCCTTTCTTTGAAAAATTAAAAGTGTTAAGAGTAATTAGTTATAACATATTATATATATATATCTTAAATACACAACCTTACAAATATTTTCTAAAAATGTTAAGTACATGTAAGAATTATTTAATAATTTTTATATACATATATATGTTAAAGCGATAATTAACTCGGAACACGAGTGTGACTCATCGTATGTAGTATAAAGGATGAGAAAATCATCGTGTGCATCAAGGGTTAAAAATAAATAGTTCTAAGGCGAGAGATATGTTTGTACGAACACACAGCACGATCGGCAACACCGAAATCTTACTCATGTTCTCAACTCAGCTATATACGCGGTTCGCGCTTTAAATTACGACTAGGAAGATGGTCGCCGCGTTCTCTTCGTCCATTCTCTCTCCTCCATCTGAATCCTTTGTTTCAGATTCCGGCTCTCGTCCTTTCCTAGACGCGCGACACGTGCGTCTCTCCCTTCCTTCGCCGAACTAGAAATGAGAAACGCCGAAGGCGAGGCTTGTTTCGCCGTCTTTGGACGAATGGGAAACGTAAAATATCAAAGGAATTAGGTCGAGTAATTGAGGTAAGCCCTTGTATGCTTTTTGAAAATATAAAGGGTAGGGGATACTCGAACAAGAATTCAAACGCTAATGTAACTTTTCTACTGTACATCAAGAGTAATAGAAGAAATTATGAAATGTCAAATTTTAAGTAAATAATTTTCTGTGTCATATATCTAGATATTTTATACCTAGATGTTTTATCATATAACATATATTTATTATTTCTTATATTGAGAAAAAAATTGTACGTTTAAATTGATTTAGTCAGTCTTCATTTTTTTCGATAAAGAATGTGTATATTTAAATCAAACATATTATATTTGACTTTCATAAAGTCTTCAACGAAAGAAATAAAACCACTAAATTAATTTAGTCAAATAAACAATTTTTTTCTCAGTGTATGTATGCTAATAATGTGCTAATAATTGCTAAGTATTGCTAAGAAACGTTGGCATTAGCAATGGATCACGACACGGCGATAACCCACAAATCGTTTCGCACCTCTAAAGAAAATATACCTGTGAAAAAGTATTATCAATTGCTAAGTATACTTGATAATATGATTTGTTTCTTTATATATTATTTTAAAGCGTAATTTTTTCTTTAATCTGAGAGTTTAGTTTAAATATTTTATTATTGGATCAAGGAATTTTTTTTGCAAAAACATTATATAAATATAAGTCTGATGTGTGCTAAGGAATAAATTAAAATATGCTGGATCAAAAATTATTCCTCTTCCTAATATAAAAATTAAATGATAACAATTATATATTAGTAAATATGAAAAATCTATTAAATTGATTAAACCAAGATATAAAAAAATTTCAACGGTATTATTCTCTAAAATAAAGTGATGCAATTAAAGAATGATGCAACATTAATTAAAATTACAATGAAAAAATAAAATTTATTTTAGTTTTTCTATATTTATCTTTACGTTTCTTTTTATCGATGAATTACTCTTGCTGGCCCATCACAGGTCTCGTTCGCAGTTCAATACGTGTTGAATATATATTTAGCATTCCAAGCACCTGCACTCGTCACACCTTGCATTTTGATTTTGAGAAAAATAGGTGCTATAACGAGTGCCGGTCTATGGTAGACTACGCAGTTTGCATAACGATTCTCCATGTGCGCTTTGTTTTCGAAACAGAAACTTTCTACCGATTTCGCGTTTACGCGACGAATACGCGCGTTCCACGACCACCATGAAAAATTTCGCTAGATCGGACGAGAAAAAAGAAGAGCACAAACGAAAGTGATCCTTCAACTTCCGTTGGCGATCGCTTATTCCTATTCCCGTCGCGTTGTCCGACGAAAGCGATAGGTACTGTAAACACATTCTCCGTTTCTCGGTAAGCGATCGCAGAATTTGCTTATTCACGAAGTAACAGTCATGCAACGGATGACCTTATCGCTTTTCACTAAAAAAAGAAACCCGTGATGTAACCCCACAGCGACATAGAAAGTGACCCGAAAAGTATCTCAACTCTCTAAATATTCTGGAGTAAAATCTCACACTAAAGAGTGAACATTGAACCAATTTTGAAAAAGAGGGGCTCAATTTTCATAACTTCAAGAGTGGTATTTCATTCTTCAGAGTGAGATTTACTCTAAAAATTTTAGAGAAGATGCACGATTCCGTTTTACCGTCCTCGGTGATCTTCGTGCATCTCGTGGAACATTTACTGCGTCACGCATCGCATCGATCACGCAGAGAGATCTGCAGTTTAAATCGTACAAAAACAAGGTGTTGTGCGGAGTAACGATCGCGCACGAGCATTTATGAGCACAATGCCGTAATAACGCTTCCCGTGTACGCTCCCTCTCGCCTACTAATCCAAATCTCGAAACGCGACATTCTCGGATGAGTTCCACCTGCGTTGATGTATGCGCGCGGTGGATTAGTCACGCGGCCTCCGAGAGTGCGAGTCGAAATAGAACGCTTAGTCAGACGTCACCAGGAACTGCATCGGGGGAGTCACCGGCCCGTTGCGGCCGCAGCCGCCTTACTTTGTTACGCTTTATGTGCCTATTCGGCATCTCGCAATGGTCTACAGCAGTGATCTGCACAATGGGAAAAATGTCTGGTTGAAAATGGACGAATCAGAATCTTTTTATTAACTTTACTAGAATTCTATTTGAGATAACCGGAATTTTAATCGATTACGGGCTGCATTCTTAGATCTTTGTAGATCGAGCCAAGATTGATCCTCATTTCAAACGAACTAAGTTTGAACCGAAGCTTGAACTAATCGGATTTATTAAAGTGATTTGAGAAGAGTTTTTGAAATGAATGATCGATTTAAATCTAACTCAAATCGAATCTCTTTATCAAATTAAATCACTACTATGAATACGATCCGTAGAGTGCTTTCCAGCAGGACGTAAACGACACAGTGTAATACTTTGAATTATTCCATCTTTCTTACTAATGTAAACAGAAATGAAATG